GGGCGCCGGTGAAGAGGCATCCGAGCCTAAGCCAGACAAGGACGACCAGTATAAGGTACGCAGTTCCTTACTTCTCTTCTCTTCTCTTCTCTTTTTTTCTCTTCTTTTCTCTTCTCTTCTCTTCTCTTCTCTTCTCTTCTCTTCTTCCCTTCTGCTCTCGGTTAACGGCTGAAGAACGGCTTGCGATTGAACAGTGTGAACATTGTTGTTGTTTAAAAAAAAAAGGAAAGAAATATCAATATGTTAAATTTCAGATTGTTATGGAATAATATGTTCGATTCCACGAGACGGTAGCCAAGCAAAAGTATTATCCTGGTCTCCTGTTCCGCGAATGGTCTGTACATATCTGACAAATTGTTTGATCGACATCATGGAAAATATTGTTCCAGGGAGAAACCTGAGAATTAATTACGTTTCTCGATGATAATTTAAGATTTGCTATTATTGGGCAAGTTTTCGGTGCTTTTCACTCTCATCGCTTTTTGGGGAAAGCTTCTGTAAAGGTTTCGAATTTATTTGTGAATTATGTTTTTATTCTTTTTTTGTTTNTTTTTTTTTCATTTTTGATAAATAAAAGCGAGAGACGGGCTCGAGTTTTACGAGTCGGGAAGATTTACGAATTCGGGGGAAATTAGAGGGAGAAGGTGAGAAATGGATTGGTTTCGAAGGAAATCGGATTTGCACGTCTGATCAAACGGATCTAAGAATATTTCCAATCGTGGTGCTTTTCATTCTCGCATGCTGTAACGCGATCGAACATTAGTCACGTTACGCCGACCGAAATTTTAATAAATATTTTTATCATTAACCTGACTTTTTCTTATTTGTTAAACTGTCTTTCCAGACTTACGAAACGATCTAACGAAAAACTTATAATTTAAGAAATTACAAAACTCGATCCTTCGAATCTATCCTTCCTTTCTCTTAAAGAGATTAAGAAGAAGAAGAAGAAGAAGAAGAGGAAGAAGAATTAAATCTAACTAATTCATCCCCTTTTTTTTTCTTTTTTTCCTTTTCCACGCAGAGAACAATCGAGAAATAAA